AAGCTACCCAAAAACCCTCAGGGAAGATAAAGGACGTGCTGGGAGAAGAGTGGGAAAGGCTTGAGGGTAGAGCGGGTTAGACGGATTTTAGAAATCAAGCAGTACACAGGGATTTCATCGATAGAGCGCACTTTTCTAAAATTGTGGTCTGCATGTCACTGTTGAAAAGTAACATGAATTTAGTGGTATGTAAAATTTTGTTTTGATATGTATGCATTTCTTATCAGGAAAATCAGGAAAATATAAGTAGGACATGGAATAGAAGCCAAAAATATGTTAAAGACAGAGAGAAAGTAAATAATAACTAATCTACGTTGATTTGTTAAAAAAAATTATGATGATATTTCATAAGACACTGATGCTTGCACTGTATAAGACAATATGGGAGCTTTAATGAGATTCTAATTTAAGGAGACCAGGCCATATTATTTTTGAATCAAAATGATGGCATTTGGATCCCCAGAATCTAGGTTTCCCTAAGAAACTAATTTTCTCACTTTTCTAGCCCCCATTTCACAGTGAGAATCTGAAGGAACAAAGTTCTGTTTCGTACTAAAAATTGGGTAGATAATTTGGTGAACAGGAAATGGGAATATGACCAGAAAGAGCAAAATCTCCTTCACAAGGAACAATGACTAGTGGAAAAATACATACTAGGATTCTGTGTTGCTTATTACATTGAGAAAAAAGCACAGAGTTTTATTAATACAATTGTCACAAACAATTCTACAGTTACCTACTAATTAACAACTCTCAGCGAGTCACCATGCTAGTGGCATCATAGATGCAAAGATGATTATTGAAAGGCTTCTTTCGTGAAGTTGGTGATTTGTTGGAGTGAGGAGGCAGAAGAGGAGAAAAATGAATATCCAAGCAACATGAGGCAGAAACTGTTTTCATAAGGTGTGGGAAAATATTATGAGGGTAATAAATGGAATCATGATTAAAATAATAATTAATAATGCCTTTCATCTACTGAGTCCTTCCTGTGTTCCAGGAAAAGTTTTAGGCATTTTTAGGCAGTACCTTACTCAATCCTCAGAGCAAACTGGCAATATTAGTGATATTGAATTTAGGTATGTTAAATAATTTACACAAGCCAGTAATCAAATGTGAGCTGTCCGACTCTGAGGGTAGACATTCTTAAAAACTGTTTGAATTCATGTTGGTGATAAGGTGAGTGAAGGCTTCACTGAAAAAGTTCTGCTTGTTTAAACCTTATAGTCATAAGGAGGATGGAGGAGAGTTTCTAAAGTCAATAGAAACTATCAAAAGAGGAAGGAGAAGGAGATTCAACATGCGCATATGGGATTGGCTAATTCTATTCAGGAAACCAAAACAGATCATCACATGCTGGGAAATTACAGAAAACAAAGCTAGAAAGCTCCTGAGACTGGTGCTCCCATAACTAGGAGCAAATAGCATGTGCGTAATGGCATGAGCTGAATCCTTGAGACACGGTGAAAGCTGTGCTTCGGAAAGATGCATTGGGCCTCAGTGAGAGTAACACAGGGTAGAGATTAAGGGCCTGAGTCTGAGAGCGAGCCTCTAAAATGTACGTCCCAGCTCTCGGAACAACCACCACTAGTGAGTGAGCCCCTGGAAATCTCAGTTTCCTCACCCGCAGCATTGATGAAAGCAAACAAATACAACTTTGACTATGAGACTTAAAGTAGGTCTTTTATATGAAACGCTTGCTATGGTGCATGTAGTTAGTACTCAGAAAGTGCTGCCTCTTATGGTTGGTGTGTAAATGATAGACTAAAGAAGAGAGGGACAGAGCAGGGACATGACTTAATCGGCTACCGACACAGTCCCGATGAAAACAGACAAAATCATGAACTAGGCCAGTAGTGATGGCAAGCTGAAAAGGGGACAGTTACACAAGATATTTCAGAGCATAAGTGCCTTCATGATTCATTAGATGTGGGAGGCAGAGATGTGGCTCTCTGAGTGTTCTTGCCTGGCTCACTAGTACCAGATATAGAAAAGTCAGGAAAACATGATGATTTGGAGAAGAAATTATGGACCCAAAGTCTTGTTGACTATGAATTAAAGGTATCGATCCGCCACCAAGTTTTATCGATCCACCACCAAGGCAGTATTTTTCTCAAGTGTGATACAGATGCAAATGGTGATGAGCATATAATCTGGTTGATGGATACAAGGGTTATCATTAGCATTAATTTCCATGGGTAAGAAAATTATTTTCTGTGAAACACTCCTTCTGTCCTGTTTACTCAAGAATTTTTGTCACTTTGGTGCTAGCTGTACTCCCCCATTTTTTTTGATACCTCTCTTTTTATCTTTTTCAACATACTCAGAATCTGGGGAACATAAATATACATGCACTTAAAATTTAAGAACATTAAAAAGTTTTTAAAACATTTTTAATGAAATTTTTATATCAGTTTCTATTTATGTCACATGTCTCTGGTTTATGATTATGGTCTTAATATAAATTTTCTTTTAAAAATGTTTAAATGAATAACAATGAATCAATATAGAGAAAAAACACTAAGGAACCAGTAGTCGAGTCACTTGGATATAACACAGTCACAAAAGGGGGCTTATGTGACTGAAGGTTAGAAACCCCCTACAGTCAGCCGTGTATCTTTTTAAGCAAATATTCTTGCCCAGTTGCCACAGAGGCTTCTTGAAGGAGGACATTTACTATAAGCCTAGGAGAAAGCCACATTGTTCTAATGGCTGAAATACAAAAATGGTTAGAAATTTGTGATTCGAACACTTTCCCAAGAAAAATCGTTAACAAAACTTCTTAGTAGATATTAATTAATTATGGAGCTATGCTTGAAGACAGGAATGGCATCAGAAGTCCAACAAAAGACCCTGCAGAAACTTCCAGTCATTACAAAATCTACTATCACAAGAATCCGGCTGTCTCATAGCATTGGCTTTAAGTTTCAGTCCAACCCTCTTCTTCACAGAGACCAATGAAATAGCACTGCAGGTAAAACACAAACTAGCAAGAGAGCAGGGTGTAGACAAGAAGACCAATGTGAAAGCTAGCTACCACGATGAAGTTCACAAGGAGCTGGTACAATCAATTAGATAAAGCCACTCACTACTAAATTAGATGTCAACACAGTTTGGCTTGATTTCCCTAGGAAGCTTAATAACTTTGTGATATCGCGTTGATTTTTCTTGCCATGCTTTGAGTGGGTTATTTTCTTCTGGAAGTATCTCTTAATAGATAGTAACTACTCTAGATCATTCTCAATATGAGACAGTGGGAAGGAGGTGATGTTAGACCCTGTGATATAAACCCAACCCTTCTCTCATCAACTTTTGATTTTATTGCTACTCTGTGCTCAAATGACTGAACAAAAGATTGACTAGTCATGGATTTGTGGGTTCTGTTTTAGGGTGCTGGAATAAGTATGGAAATATAAATATACAGCAGAACTTGATGCTCAATTTCTCTTTCTGGAAGCATGCAGACTTGGAGATTATTTTTACACATGTCCTTTCTCTCACAGATGGAAGACTTTACTCCTAAGGCGATCCTGAATATCTTTCTTTGGCACCGAATGAAACTCTATTCTAGTACTTGGTGGTCAGGATTTCCAGTGAATAAGGGAGCAGAAGGAAACTTTTCAAAAAATATACTCAAGCATCTCTTTGACCTTCTTTGGGTTCTTTCTTTCAAAATGAAAGCATGTTTAGGAGAAATTTTCAAATGCCAAAAAACAATATTAGGACCAGCTAGCTCTTTGAATGAGAGAATCTTAAAGGTAGAATTTTACATTTTTATGCAGGTAGACTCCTAAATTTCCATCTTTGTATAGGTCCTAAATTTGCTTTTCTCTGTACGGAAGACCAAGACCTTATTCCAAATTAGTCAACACCAAACCATACCTTACAAATTTCAAGGGAAGAATATCAGGTATGTGTAAGTAAAACAACAGAAAACAGCTCAACTAGTGGGATAGATGGCAGGCTGAGGGCACAAGGTTTATATTTGAAATCAGGGCATATTTAAATTGTCATATTAATTTTAAAAGGTGGAGTAATCTGTATGTAGTATATACTCAACATTCCAGAAGATTCATACTTGCCACCAGAAGACAGATCTAGTTTGCAAATATGTTTGACTTGCCTCACATGGATTTTTTACATCGATTCAATTAATACCATTAAAATCATGGGGTTTTAATACAAAAATATAAATTTTTTGCTTCTCTTGAAAAATCTGACGTCCTGGCCCAATTAAGTGTCATGCACACTTGATAATTATAATTAATATTAATTAGTAAGAGATACTGTTTATTGAATGCTCACTAAGTGCCAGATATCATTCTAAGCATTTTACTTTCTTTCCCCTACACATAGAATGTCTGAGATGCAGATCATTTTGTCCACATTGGTTACCTGTGAAAGTTGATGTCCTGAGACATTTAGTAATTTTCTCAATATCAAAGCTGGTAATTGATGGAGTTGGGATTTGAACCCAGGCCTGTTTGATATCAAAGTGCAGTCCCTTATCCAGTGATGGAGTCAGTCCAATACACGAAATTATTTAATGGAGAATTCATCATATTCATTGTGGTCATTTTTCTACATTTGTAGAAAGTTCATTTTTGTGTTATTACTTTAAATGTTTCTATTTCAATATAGTATAAAACATATTTCTTAAAAGAAACATTACACTTATACCTAATAAATATTTTTTAAATAATTGTTACTTACTTTTGCTTAAAGAAATTAAGCAAATAATTCACTAATTCAATTTGAATGCAGTTTGCTTTGAATTGATAGAATCTACTTATATTTATCTATTATACTAGAATACCCATTATACTTTTCTCTAGAAAATTAAAACACTTTAATTTTTTGAATATCACTTGTACACATGTATTGGAAAACCTTCTGAATCATATGCATCAGAATTTTAGTTCTTTTCTTAAAAATCGTTGTTCAATTTTCTAGAATTTTAGCTCTTGAAGGGTCACTGAGAATCCTCTTTACGTGTATCTTACCAGAAGTCGTCTTCACTACTTCAGTGGTGTTTCTCAGTCCAACAAATGAAAATTGATAAAGCCTCCAGGATCTCGTATCACCTACTTCCACAGAGCTACGCTTCCACTGGTAGACAATCTCTTCCCGCGGATAGCCATCTGCCATGAGATGGGAAAGCACACATTTAAAATGATTATAAATGAGCGTATGTAGCAACCACCTCCAGGAACAAGACACTGAGCAAAGTACTGAGAGAGATAAAGTTATGACTAAATGAGGATCCTGGACTAAAGAGCCTCACCCTGGAGAAAATAAATACAACAACATCATATTCTAATAGGAAGTTAGGTTTAAAAATCATGAGGTCATAGTCATCCTTGAAAGTCACTTACATTGCATAGAAGGTATCCTATACTTGATTTAATATATACTGTATGCACACTTTACATAGTCTGGGTAAGACATAAAAAGTGGTCAGTATATAATAAATAGTACATATGTAAGATATTATTTCAGGGTAAAGGGGAGTCAACCAGGGCAAGATTTGGAGAGTCCTGCAGAAACAGAAAATACTGAGAGAAGGGCAGACCCAAATTCTTCTCCAGAGCATGCACTTGGAGTGGAAGGTGGCTGGGAAAAAATAGCCTCAACTATTTACATTATGTTCACTCTCTCAATTTGCTGGGACTTTATCCTGATATAAACAGAAGTCTGCAATGAAAGCAGTAAGTAGAAACATCAAGGGGAAGGTACCGATGAGCACTGCACAGATTCCAAAGGGTCAGTCCAGGTCAGCCCAGAGCACAGAAAGCCTTCATGAACGAGGCAGTATACTGATAACGCAGTGACTGTCAGCACCATTTCCAAGTCCGGGACTCTAGACAAGTTTAATTTTTTTCTGAATTATTTGATTCCTTATGGGGAAGATCATCAGACTTATTTCATAAAACTAATAGTAAGTATATTTTTAATGGATAAACATTACTGTTAAGTAAACTGTGCAATAAACTCAAGTAAAAAATAGAGAAGTAGAGAGAGAGATTTGAAAAAACTAGAAATCATCTCAACTGTTATCTACTAATGATGTTATGACAAGATGTCTTAATTGTGGAGGCTGATTCACTACTTAGAATAAAATCCCTTGTGTTTCTTTCTTTTCCTCATTGTCTTTTCTTTTGGTCCAACTCTTTGGTTGTTATCTATTTGTTAATTAAGATGAAGGAAAAGAGCCCTGGCTGGTGTAGCTCAGTGGATTGAGCGCAGACCTGCAAACCAAAGGATTGTGGTTCAATTCCATCAGGGCACATGCCTGGGTTGCAGGCCAGTTCCCAGCAGGGGATGCACGAGAGGCAACCATACATGAATATTTCTCTCCCTCTTTCCTTTTCTTCCCCTCTAAAGATAAATAAATGAAATATTTTTTTAAAAAGGAGAAGGAAAAGAGAGAAAGCAGGCCCCCCGTGTGCCGTGAAGCAGAGGAGAGGCAGGGTATGTGAAAACTGAGGAAGAGAACGATGCCATTAGGAATCTCCCTGTGGAGCATGTAACTGTGATTTGTTGTTTTTTTTATAGCAATAAGTGATATTAAGTTGTGCTTGGGCTCAGAAGACAGTTGTCAACTGGTGACCTGAAGGCACAGGAATCACCAGTTCTTAAGCTTTAGCTGATTCAGTAGACGTGTAATCCCAGTTAGAAATGAAAAGAAAATAAGTCTAGTCTCCTAAAGCTTGGGGAAGCTTCCACTTAAAAATATTCTCTTCATGGATGAAGTAAAAACATATAAAATAAATTTTATAATGGAACCCCTTTAAATAGAGGGTGGGGCCAAAGTAGGTTTACAGTTGTGAGTGCATGAAACACAGAGATTACTCTTGTATTATTATCTATTCATTATTACATTATTTCCCATGCAAACAGCTGTAAACCTACTTTTGTCCCACCTCGTATATATGCTATTTTTCATCTAGTTCCCTCCGGAATGGATGCAATGGTAAACAAATGATTGTTTCTCTCATCGCTGATTTTTTATAATATGGTTATTATGACTTCATTGGCTCTTAGGAGTCTCCCTCACTCCCTAGCTGGGCAATTATATATAAACTTAAAATTTGTAATCAGTTTTCGTTGCTTAATATGCACAGTTGGCAGACCGACAATAAGGAGTTCGGGGCCCGTAAGAAGCAGCCTAACAGGCCCTGAAAGAGTAGTGAGGCCAGCACTTCGGGGAAATGGAGGCTTGTTTTCGATTCAGGCAGGAAATGTCTGTGAAGTTTACTAAAGATCAATGTCCTTTATGTTAGAATCATTATGGGAGTTCTTCCCTCATGCAGTCTATTGTCTGGTGATAATGATAATAGTAAAAAGAAGAGAGCTTTTTATTGAATCCTGAGTGCTGAAATAGCATAGCAAGCATTTTACATACATCACATCCACAAAACGATATTGCTATGGGTTAGATCTTGTAAATCTGTAGTGAGTACCTGGAAATGGGGACTGATTTAGAGATTTAGTAATTCGCTCAAGTCTAAAGAGATAGACTCAGAATTTGAACTAGACCCAAACAACACCAAAAATCAGTCTTTTACTCACTGGTGGATAACTAGTTCTAGAACTCCAGGAGGAAGAGGCGATTATTAATTTTGTTCTCTTTAACAGGGCTACAAAACTGAACTATGCAAATGGCACTGTTGGATCTCTGCATTCCCTGACAGGTAAGGGAGAAAATAAACAGCAAATGTACTGTGACTCTCTTCTCTTGAGCCCATGGAAGGAGAGGGTGTATAATTTACCATTACCACTTTCTATTCAATCCAGGTCTGGCTTTGTAATTCTTCTCAACCCAACAAAGGGCTCCTGGCAACAGCTGCCAATTTATTAAAAGTTTATACTGCAGTGAAACTTATTTATACTTCACGATAAATTAGATTTCTTTCTGCAAGAATTACTCTAATAGGGTCAAGCTGGTGGTATAATGAAAGAAACTGTCAAAATCTTCAATGTGAACAACATCGCTTAATACAATTTTGCGTTCTCTGTGAATCTCCCAATTCATTGACACTGCAATTAGACGATGGTGAGAGGGGATACAGAATGCAAATGAGTATTACTTACAACTGGAGAACTCCAAGGGGCAGGAGTGTTCATCCATTGGAAAATTATGCAACTGTAATTGGCACTCGGCATCAATTGTCAATCTCAACAGAAATATGAAACATAAGTAGAAAGATTTGAGACATAGTTTTCAAAATATACATTAGCACAATTTCTAATGCCCATTTTTCATCTTTATTCCTGGAGAGTGTATCTCACATTCGTACCTATAACACAAAGTGATTTTCACTGAGGAAATCTACCAAGTCCAGGAGAAAAGTATTTAAGACTTAATGTGATCCATTTGTTTTCACAGACCCAACAGTAGGTTCTCATTGACCTCAACTCCATTTTATCAAAACTTAGGATCACACAATGATTATTTGGGGGGAAAAATTAATTGCTCACAGGAGACTGCTCAGTGGACATATTTAACCTAACAGAACAAACTGTTATAAGAACTTAAGCTCATTTACTGTTTGCCTGTAAATGAATGCTGATGATTCTCAGATCTTATCTGCTAATTAAAGTAGAACCTTCTGTGTGTAAGTGCTTATTAGCTGTTAGCTTTAAATTACTATATTAGCTTTGAAATCACCTATGTTTCAAAATGGAGTATTACACATTCTTGCAATGGAACACGGTGAAGCCATTCACTAGGACATTATAGAGTACAAAAGTTCTTAGTGGCAAACAGAAAATGTTAAATAAACTTAGATACAGTAGAAATATATTTTCCAGTGCATCTCAGATAGTTTAAATCTGAGGGGCTTATTAAACAGACAGGTTTTCTGGATCTTAGTGGACTGGAGTAGTTGGAAGGATGAAATTTAAAGGTGTTCGGATGTTTTGATTACCTTTGGAGAAATATGAACATATTCTAAAATTATACTGGTGATGGACTGATGATATCTTAAATTTCATATAGGTTAGCTCTATTTCTTATAATGTTATCAATCATGAAGTAATGTTATCTTATGAATATTTGTTTATTTTAAAAGATTTGTCAATTTAGCATACTTTTTCATTGGGGAGATTATTTTTCTATAATATAATGGGGCAATTAATGACCTTATTAATAAACATTGAGACATTAATTGTTTATATGACACTGGGTAAAGGTGAATTGTCCTCTCATTTTGTATATGTTATTATGGCTTTATTGTACTTGAACTTGGCAAAAGTTACAAAGCTAGTGGCACAGTTGTGATCTAATTCCAAGATTTTTTGTCTCCAAAGCTGGAAGTTTTAATCATTGTCACTCAATAATTAAATGCTCTTCCAAAGAACAGATTAGTTTTATTCATAAGTAAAATTATAATTAAATTAGATATTTTAGTATTATCTTTCTAAATTACACTGAAATTATTAAAATGAAAATTATATAGTTTGCAAAAACATAAATACAATATATATAGCTATGCACATGCATATCCATAACTCATAAATAGGAACAAGAATAAAACCATTTCTCAGCATAGATTGGCAGGTCATTCAAACTTTGAATTTTGTGAGTGACATTTCTGAGGCAGCTTCTGTAATTAAATATTGTATAGTGATTCTGTAAATCAATGGAAGTGAAAAATGACTATAATGTTATGAAAACATAAACAGACTCAAGATAGTGTAATCAACAATATTTCAAAAGCTAGACTGAGCTCTGATTTATGACACAAACTTTTATTTTTACTAGATTCTAATTCTAGTCATTACCTTATCTCACATTTAATAAAACCTGTGATAAGTTCAAAATGTATGCAATGACTTTCTTCTAAACTTATAGCCATTTTTTCTAGTTACTGATGTAACTGTTTAACTGATAGAAAGGTTTGAAGCCATTTTAAAGTGTTTTATTTTGTATGTTGAATATTATGTAAGGTGTATGTCTCAAGGGCATTTAACATGAATCATTTTGAAGCTAAAAGTTCCAGGATACTAAGACCTAGGAGAATTGTATTTATACATTTTACTAAAAAGTATACATGAATAAATTCAGTGTCTTCTGTGCTTACTATGTATCAGGGTCTAAGCACTGTTTAGTCCGTATATCTCTGTAAGATAAGAATCATTGTCTATTTTACAAAATTAAAGAAAGTGAAGAGTTAGCTCAGGTGTCTGGGCAGTGTGTGGTGGGGTAGTTGTGTCTTGTTTTCCAATAATCCCCTCATTTTCCATCTAATTCCTCAAAATAAAAATGTAATCAAGTAAAAACATCAAACTTACTATACAGATAAAGCTTGGAGACGTGTCTTTTAGCACTAACACACGTGCTATCTAATAGCTGCCCCCTAGAAACTTTGGAGAATTGCCCTAAAGCATACAGGTAGCATGGTATAGAGCTAAGACCTAAATCCAGGTTTGTCTGAGTCATAAGTGTATGACTCAGTGTACGTATCTATTATGTTGTTTAATACTATATGATCACCGGGGGTGGGGAGAAAAAAATATATATGATCATCAATGAAAAACATCAGCATATAAATATGCATCTAAGCATAAAGTGCTAAGATAATGGCCTGTATAAGTAGAAAACCTCCCAAATGTTACTTTATTTTTAAGTTCAGATAGTAAAAAATAGCTCCAAGTTTTCCCAAAAGATGTCTTTCCAAAATAGCCAATAAATTAATTCAAACAGCCTGGCAGTGTATTGGGGGTAGATGCTGGGAGACAGAATTTACTGTAGTTACGTGCCATTGTATAGCTGAAAAGAGAAAGCATACAGCAGATTTCCACATCAAAAAATCTCCCTCCGCAACAGTTTCCTTGGAAACAGAGACATTTCCAAGCATAGCAACCGGTGGTCCCAAAGATGACTATGTTTTTGTTTCCACATTTTAGAGTAGCAGGACACACCCACAAAAGCCAAGGTTGATGCAGAGCTCAGGAGGTCTTAAAACACCAGGAAAGTTCCATGCACTTGTGAGAAAGACAAAAACGAGTTCTCACATCAGTCAGAAAAATAATTTGACCTATTCCTATTCCTTTGAAAAAGCTCATCGACAACAGAAAGAAAAACTAATTTTGTACTGTCGATGATCAAACATGCCAACCTTGATGTTGGCTTGAAATTTTCTTTCTTTCTTTCTTTCTTTCTTTCTTTCTTTCTTTCTTTCTTTCTTTCTTTCTTTCTTTCTTTCTTTCTTTCCTTTCTTTTTTGTCTGAAGAGGTTGACCTTTGTTTTATTCCCAGCAATTACTCATTTCTTCTTCCAAAATAATACCTTAAGGTGTAGAGCACTCGACCATCATTCCAAATTCTCAGCATCCTATTGGGGGTGGTAATCCAATGTGCATCAGCCTTTTTTGAGTTTCTGAAGAAAGTGTCTGGAATCCAGATTTTCCCCACCATGTTGCTATTCAGTCGGAGGACTTTAATGGTGCTGTTAAATTTCAAACGTCTGTCATACCATGTTTGGGCAAAAAAGATATCAATTGTATATTCCTGTGATAAAGAGACAGGTAAAACACAACATTTGTAATGCAGTAGGGTTATCTCGTAGAACATATTTTTTATGTTTGTCATTTTTTGTTCTCATTGCTATTCTGAGATACATTGGCTTTAAATTGTCCCAAGGAAAGCAAAGACTTAGTTGAGGAGACTCACTCATATCTTGTAGATGAGTTGATATTTTCATGGGGGCAAAAAAAGAACTGGTCTAAATGAATTTTGGCAAAAGATCATAGCCCTGATAACACTGTATGCATTTGATGCCTATAGAACACAGTTTCTTGGGTTATTTTTTTTTAAGATTTTATTTATTTGTTTTTAGACAGAGGGTAAGGAAAGGAGAAAGAGAGGGAAAGAAACATCAGTGTGCAATTGCCTCTCACATGCCCCACATTGGGGACCTGGCCTACAACCAGGCATGTGCCTTGACTGGGAATCTGACTGGTGACCCCTTGGTTCACAGGCCAGCACTCAATTTACTAAGCCACACCAGCCAGGGCTCTTGGGTTATTTGGGGCTAGCAAATTTTGGGTTGTGGGAGCTGTGTTGTACATTTTAAGATGCTTAGTGGAATTCCTAGTCTCTACTCATTAGACATCGGTAGGGCCAACACCAACCTCAACCCCACCCCAAGTTGTGACAACTCAAAACTTCCTCTAGACATTACTAAATGCCTTAAGGAAAGCGATCACCTGGGCTGAGAACCACTGCTGTAGAGTTAAAGTCCAGCATAATTAAGCAGTTCTAAACTGGATCTGTTGACCTCAGTCACCTCATAATAAAATGAGGACATGAAAGAATCTATCTTGTGAGGCAGTGTGAGGATAGAAAAAGAGAATACACATGAAGTGCTTTGTGTTGTATCTGGCAGATAGCAAAGACCAGTACGATGCATAAGATGGTCTTCCTTTTTTAAAACTATTATAGTTGTCTTTTCCTCCAAACACAGGGAAACTAACTAATTAATAATAATGTTTAATACTGTACTAATCTCTATCACAAAGCATATTCTCAAAGTGCCAGGGTGCTATGATGATAAATTACTCTGTAACAAATATACTCAAGGATCTACCACTAAGTGGCAAGGGATTGACTTTAATCGAAGAAAAGTATGATGTGAATTCAGACCATTAGGCCTGGCATCAGAACACCTGAGTTCCAGTCTGACTGTCACATTTAAGTAGTATGTAGTGTTACTTTATACTTTGATTTTAATCATGCCGATAAATGAGAAAATTTTAAAAAGAAACTTCAGCATTCTTAGAATGTGAGAACCAAGGGTTGGGAGTCATCCACTTTTCCTAGTCCAATCCCCTTAACCCTCCCCCAATTTATGATGAAGAACATGGACAGACAGGAAGATTGTTTATTTGCCCAAGAGTACAGAGCCTGTCAGGATTAGACAGGAATTGCATTTGCACCATTCTGTGTTACATCCTTGCACTTCCCACTGCTGCATCTCATTGCAATGGACTACAGTTCCTCAGGGGTTAGCCATGCCCCTTGGCTCACTAATTAATTCCCCATTTGCCATCTGCACCAATGAGGAACTAGTGAGAAAGGAAGCTATCTTGTGAAATTCTTTCTCAACTAATTAGTGATGTGCCAGTAAACAGTAATAATCTCTGATGTACAATTTGGCAAAACACACAAAAATTAAATATTTTCTGGTGTACATGTTGGCCAAACACAAATAAATAAGGAAATATAAAAATAAAGATTAGTTAAACCAGTGATTCATAGACTGTGATCCTAGAACAGTAGTTTTGGGAGCTGATATTCCAGAAATTAAAAGTTCTATGCTTTAATAAAGTACATATGGCTTCTTCTCCTTTTTAAATATTTATAGTTTGCATCTGGATGATAAATAGTCTGAGAATTTTCATTATAAAGAAGAAACATGTTGGCATTTGCTTAATGGTTAAACAAGCAAACTTATTATTCACCCCAATTGGGAGCAATTAAAGTTTCTCATATCTTTGATTCAACAGAGTGTCCTTATTGACAGCTTGGTAAACACTATTTCAAAGTTTAGTTGTGTTATGTTACATACATTACATTAAGTTAATGTTCTACCCTATTCTATTCTGTTATAGATTCCAATCTAGTTTCTTATTTCAGATTTGGATAGAAAGAGTTGTATAATAAAAAGTTACATTTATTGTTACATCAGATCAATTACTTCCTCTGAGAGAGAATTCTGATTTGAAGCAAATGATGCCTTCTCTAAACCATTAATATTCTAAAAATTACTAGAGCACTTTATTTTGTAGAAAGCAATAACTACCAAGCAAACAATTATTGTTGAATTTTGAGTATAGCATTTTACCCAAATTAATTTTATAGGTATGATCACATTTAACTATCATTAAAAAAATTATTAAAATTATCTTCTTATTGCAAAAGAGAAAAAAAAAGGATCTGACAGATTCTCCCTTCCAAATTTTTTTATTGGCATATTTCTTGCTATTTTCATCATACCACATGTTAATGACAAACTATTAGAATCTTACCATATTGATGGCATTCACTGGACCAATGCTGTTCACATACATGTCTGTGTGAATCAATGTTGGTTTCACTGCAGAGATAAGCAGAGATATGTACAATAGAGATATGTACAATGTAAAATTTTTAGTCTGTTTTTCTAGAAATACATTTATTTTTCCACTTTAAAAAGAATTTATTTGCAATTAATTTGGTGCCAGTGACTAACTTGCTTCTTTTAAATAATTTGGTTTTCAAAGAAGTCTCTCTGTTTGGCTTGTAAACGCTATAACTAAACATCCTTTCGAGACTGTGTAAAGATGAACAGAGAAGGAAAACTCCTCAGATTTTCTTTTTAATCTTTTTCTCAGATGTCCTGAACTTTACCATTTTTCCCTCAGGCTCTGAAATTTATTTGGGCATTGCAGCTTGACTTGCCTCATATAGGAAAAAAATATTTGTGACCCAGAAAAATATGTCAAAGAAGCATGAAGTAGATAAAAAGAGCAACAAGGGTAATGGATTGTTTTGGAATAGTTGCACCTGTTGGTTGCTTTTATGCCCGCTGTATCCACGTATGCCTCTAGCCATCACTAAATCAATCTTCCTCAGTGACTCCATGAAGTCTGGGACTCACCAGGTAACACGAGGAAACCATATGGAAACCCAACACACACCTATTTGTCAGAGGTCTGACATGGAAAATAATGCAGTATTACATCTATGACCAAATGCATGTGCTCCATTTTCATTTCACATTTAATGAACAAAGATTCATAATGTTATTCTGGGCTTCAGTTCAACATTTGGTTCATCTCTATTATTTTCCTCAAAGGGGTCATGCCCTAACTCTCTGTGGTGGAATGAAGTCGTCCTTATTCCATATACCTGCAACCTTGCTGTCACCCCAACGAGGCATTTCTGTCCTCTGAACTTTGGGCTTGACCATCGGATCTGCCACTAAGAATTTGTAGTTGTTTGTTATAATGGGCAATGGATATACCTCCTTTCTCATTATTTGCTTGCTTCTTTTTGATATCACTTCATAAAGAACCTGTCGTTTTTCTTCTACAGCCTTTGTCTGGGCTATCCAGCCAAAAAATGAATTTCCAGTTCTCACGTAACTCTTGAAAATCATCTTTGTTCATTTGAACTTATCAGCACCCCTCCTACCTTCAAACTGGAATGCTATTTGTATGTTCTTTATCTATTTTATAACATTCAGTAAAGGTATCATTTAAATGGCTATGGTTTTTGAAAGATGCTGACTTTTTTCTAATGTGGTAGGCATGTTTATGAGTTTCTGTCCACACCACACTACAAAAGATTTCCACATACCTCCTATATCAGGTCGAAGTTTATTGTCATATCCTTCCAGAAGGTTGTTTAAGATAACAGTGACATCACCCTCAGGAACTTTGGGCGTCAAGACCCATGTTTTGTTAGAAGCATAATCTTCATAGTCGTCATCAGATTTTTGGCTAGTGAGGCTGAGCAAACAAAAATATTGGTTAAGAAACACACAGACTGCATCCAAGTTAACTTTTACTCCCAAAGCACTGGCAGAAAAGGAGAAATGAAACCCGGTTACTGGAATAGAAATTAAAACGGATTACAGTGAATATTCCTACCTGAGGATTAGTCTAGATCATCGAACCTCACGGATGTAGATAACAGTTTATAAAAGTGCACTGTCCAGGTTTTCAGAATGCTCTGCCTTCCCATCTACAAGTAGACTATTTCTTACCAGTTATTTTTGCCTTTTCTGTAGTTGATGTTCTTTTTGCCCAACAGCCCAGCCTCATGAAGGACCTATCGATTCACCTATTTTTGAGAAAGTGATGCTTAAACGATCAGAATGTAGTCTAAGAATTCAGGCATGATGTCTCCTTCTTTTTCCTTTGAGATGTTAACTTGCTCCCAACTATTAATGAAAGTAAGAGACTGATAATTAGATTCCCTCCCACAAACCGCCAGCCAAGCCTCTCCCTCTTCGATTGAACTACTAAGGAGAGCTCAGTCTTGCTGCCTTTGCTTCCCCCGGGGTGTGTGTGTGTATTTTTCCTCTCTTGCGCTGAAGCAAGGGCGGTTCATTTATCTTTGATTGTTAAGAACCTGGTACTGTGAAGAAAAATGTAGTTGCAGACTTTAAACCACTCTTTACTACAGCAAAAGCTCCCAAACTGGGAACTCATACTATTGCTTAATGTATTACAACCGTAGAAATGAAACTACATGTTTTGAGTGATCAGAATGCCACAAAATATGCTTTGATTCAGTTTGCCGTGACCAAACATATCAGAAAATCCCAGTGGTTGGGCCGGAAGCTAAGGCTGACTTAGGAAAGATAGTAGAATTACTGTAGCTTGTCTTTCCCCTGCCCCAAGTTCAATTCCCCCTCTCCCACCACCCACAACGCACAAAGACAATTGTATTTTCCATATCTAGAGGGAAGGCAAAACCTTACAAAAGCTGCCATTTTCATTTTTATCAGCACTCAATGCATATGGGTTACTTCTGTGGTTTTTGGTGAAAAACATAACAAATGTCAAGTATAAAATGTCCCACCTGTCTTCACTTTATTTTCCTAAGTACATGGTATAGACTGGATCTTGTCAGAAATGAAATCACTGCCACATTACCCTAATTGAATATATATTCAATTAAATATATATGTATATTCAATATATATAATGCTCATTAAAAATATGTTTTTCTCAAACCATATTTATCACCTTTCTTCAATTATACTCAGATATATATATAAATATAAATATATATATATATATATATATGGCTGTGTTTTATATATGAAGCTTGGAGACAGATAAGTAGATAGATAGATGATAAAATGGTAGAAGAAAGCTAATAAGTGATTAATCTGGCCTGAGAATGAGTGAGGGAGATGAACTTTTAAGAGAAATCACGGCATGAATCAATTTAGTAAGCCAGTAATCTCTCTTTAAATTCCTTTATAAAAAGGAACCATGTGAATTGAGCCATGCATCTGCGTAACCCCCAGCAGATCAGTGGTTTACATCCTGCACTGTAGTAGCAGGGGGGGCTTTAACATCGTTGTGCCTACAGAGGGCGCCGGGCATGGGCGGGGTAGGGGAGGAGGGGGCCTGACCAGCTTCATCAGGCAGAGACCAGTTCTCTGCGAGGATAATCCCTCTCAACCCCCAGTTCCTCCTTTAGAGCCCTGTGAACCCTGCCTAATGGAACTCTAATCCTGTGACCCAAATTTTACTACTTTAAAAAGAAAAAAATTCTCTCTGAGATATTTCTAAATCCTTCCAATAAATCATTGAGGGGGAGAAAAAAAAACATGTTTGGCCCATTAGATGTCATTGTAATGGAATTTTACTACTGTTTAATTTGGTCACACAAAAGGGCCATTTCAGAAAAAAATTATCCTTCTTTCTTCCCCAGACACAGACGTGTCTGTCTGTCTCTCGCTTCTCTCTGACTCTCTCGATCAGACACAGGCACCCTGTTAAAGTTTCTTCAAGGGAAGGTGATGTATTACTCAGTTGTTTGGTTTGCTTGCCTAAAGCACTTCCTCCTGCTAAGAAATAAATAGTCCAAGCCTCATGGTGCTGCATTACTGACATTGCTATTACCTGGTGAACAACAAGGAAAAACAGTTCAAATGAACTGATGAGAGATACTTAGAAGAAATGTTACTTTCCAGAATTGCAACAATGATTCTCTTAATCTCATCCCCTATTGGATGCCAGAAGAATAATCATATTGATTTCACTTAATCGTGTCAGTGATGCATGTCTTTTCCTACTTTAAGATGCCTATTTAGCCACACAGAGGTTAAATAGAGTAGAGAAATTAAGAGCATATATTTAGGAGTTTGGCATTACCGGGTCTGTGGGCTGGCTTCATGTCTCTGTCATTATTTTATGACCTTGAGCAAATTATTTAACCTGGCTAAACATCAACATTCTCTTTTTAAAATAAAGTTAACACTAGTATTCATACCACATTTTTGCATAAGGTTAAGAGAATACTCACTAAATGCTTAGTGTAGTGCCTGACGCGTGGTTTTGAAAAGAGCTTTATTACAGTTATTACTCTAAAGAGCCCACCGCATAACCACAGCTCCAACCGTGTAACTAAGCCTGATTCTACAGATGCTGTTTCCAGGCTTTTGTCTAATACAGGCCACAAAGGACTCAAAACAGATGTTTTCCAGGAAGAAAAATAATGAGCCCCTACAAATGAAGTTTTTATTCTCTAGAGCTTCTCCAGCTGATGTCTAAATTAATAGGGCTGATATACAATCTGGGACTGTACCCGCATTTGTCTTAAAAAAAGGAAAAGGAACCTCTCTCATTCAGTGTTGGTTGTGATTTCCCTCTGTGATTCTTTGGAGTTAAGAACATCCCCATTTGTAGGTGAACAGTCGAGGGGTGAAGAACTCTGACTATTCTGTACAATTGTGAGCTCCATGAGAACTGCAGGATAGAAATAAATTGATCAAGACTCAAGAAAATTGACTTAACGGTCGAGTAGGCTTACAGCAAACACAAATTTAAACTCCTAGCTAAAGGCACCTATTTAAATAAATAGACGTTAGAAGTGATTATGCTTTCTTGGGTCCTTCAGTTTAAAAAATAATCTTTTTTAAACATTTTTTATTGGTGTTCAAGTACAGTTGTCTCCATTCCCCCCCAATCTTATAAGTGGAAAGAACTGTAATTGATATTACTCAATGAACTTATCATAATGGAAACATTCTTTTTTTACAGTTTGAGTGATAATTTCTGGAAGGTATGCCAGAAAATGTTCTAAAGCTTTCATTTTTGAAAACTTCCAAAAAATTGTTAGAAAGCCATCTGACCGAGAGCCTTGGGTAGCAAAAGGAGCCCCTCTGGGGAATTGCTAGAAATGCAAAATGCAGACCCTTGGACCCTACCTGGGCTTCTCAATCAGATTCTTTAATAAAATCTTCAAGTGCTTCATATACACATTAAAATTTCAGAATCTCAGGCATAGAATATTTAAATCAGCGGTTCTAACTCTGGTGTGTGTGTGTGTGTGTGTGTGTGTGTGTGTGTGTGTGTGAGCTGGGGTGAGCACTTTTAAGAATACAGATTCCTAGGTTCCTGGTTTAAATATGACTCAGAATCACCATGTTGTGAGGTTATTAATTTTAATTTTAATCTTTACAGTTTTATTCATGATTTAAATTTATGCATGAATACAAACATACAATGAATTTGTGTTTGCAATCAGAAACAAAAATAATATTTAGGAGGAATACTCATAAGTGGCTTAGGAAAACAGAATGAATACTGGAGAGACAACGCTTAATGAAAGATTGCTCTCATTAATATAGGAGATTCTAAATATTTAAATTTGGGTCATATTCTAGATATTTGGCACTGTGAAGATTAATCACGCGGTTATGGAATTATAAACTTTAATCCAGGTATTTCAGATTCCCATAGATGCAATAAAGCCCAGGGTGTACAATAGCAAACGTTTGGGTGCGATATAAACCATTTCATTCAGATATCTTTAAATCCATTTTTTGGCTTCATAAAGACAGAATATATAAACTATATATTATATATATTCTCTAACATAAGTGGGTAAATAGGCAAATAAACAAAAAATCACTTAAAAAATTTTTTTGTTGTATTTTTTCCATTACCATTAAGTCCCCTTATACCTCCTCCCTCCCCACCACAACCACCCCCTGTCGTCCACGTCCATGAGTCCTTTTCCATTTTGTTCAATATGGACGGAACTGGAAAACTCATTTACTTTCACACTTGAAATATTTTTAAATGATTAGCATTTGATTCCTTTGAACCATTAATTTTATTAATACTTTTTTATTGGTACAAGCTTTGGCTTACTTTAATTTCACAGGTGCAATGAGTCAAATGTGGTGTGTTTTAGATGATCAAAATAAATCTCCCAAGACAGATATGCCAGCAAACTAAAACCTTTTGAAACTGTTCTGTTACAAATTCCAGTGCATTGGACTTGCTGCTCTATCAGTTTTACCTGTACTGTTGTCTCCACTCTATAGTGTAAAATCTATTCCTTCCTTGTACTGCGCTCACAGGGGTCCCCTGCCACCCTACATTCTCATCAGGCTATAAAGTCCGATCGGGAGCCTCACAGTCCCGAAACATCAGTAACACAAGAATGTGTTGTTCCTTAGATCATGGTGTTACTTGAGAGTCCGTTGAGTTTAAGAAAACTGGTCAAATCCCAGTACCTTTGCCTGCATTGTTCTTTCCGCTGACAATCTCTCCTTCTCTCCAACTTCTAAAACAACATTCAGCATGGCTTATTCCTTCCTGCCTTTCAGTTTTCAACATAAACATCATCTTCTTGTGAAGGCTGTCCCTTACCATTTATCTACCTTTGTCCCCCACCTTCCCTTTATAGACCCTATTCAGTCCTTTATTTGCTTCTTAGTATTTGTCATAATGTGTATTTAGTGGTTGGCTTGTTGTCT